CCGCGGCCGCGACGGCCTCGGACGCCGCCTCGGACGCCGCGTCGAGCAGCGACGTGTACTGGGGCCGGTTGGGGTCCGACGAGTCGGCGCTCGACGGCCGCTCGTCGGCGGACGACGTGCGCTCGAGGCGCGGCGCGCAGGACGAGCCCCGGCGGCCGCTCCGGCCCTGCCGGAGCGCGATCGCCGCCGCGCCCGTGCCCGGTAAAAAAGCGTAGGGGTCGACGTCGTTGCTGCCCTCGGCGACGTGGAGCTGCTGCGTGCCGCGGAAGCGGCTCTCGCGCCGCGTCGGCTGGCGGCCCAGGGCCTCGTAGACGACCTCCGCGCCGGGCTCGCAGCCGTCGACCGGGCTCGTGCCCGAGACGTCGCAGGGCGGCTGGGAGACGGCGCCGACGCCCTCGTAGACGATCTCCGGCCCGCGGTCCCGCGAGCTGCCCCGCGGCCGCGGCGCCTCGTCGCCCGAGCTCTCGTCCTCGTCGATGATCGCCGCCACGACGGCGAGCTGGCCCTCGTCGAGGTCCGCCTCGTGGGCCGCGAGGAGGCCCATGAGCTCCTCCGGGGCGAGGGACCGGAGCTGGTCCGCCGTGAGGCGCCGCACCTCCTCGGCCGTGTACGCGCCGGCGTCGGCCGCGGCGGCATGCTCGTCCGCGGGCGTCTCCATCGCAACTGGGCAGCCTCAAGACAGAAACGAGACTTCAAGAGATCTTCAAGCACGCGGCGCACCGGTTGGAAAAGCATGGGCTGCCTCTAGCTTAGAATGAGCAGCATGGCGACGATCCAGGGCCGCGACGCCGTGCACACGGCCTTCCTCGCGAGCTCGCGCGACGGCGACGCCATCTCGACGCCGGCGGAGTGGCGCCACTTCATCGGGCAGCTCAAGGCCGCGGGCGTCTGCTCGACGAGCCGCGAGGTGAAGGTGCTCGAGGAGGCCTGGGCGCGCTGCGACACGGCCCAGACGTCGCGGCGCCTCACCTTCGCCGCCTTCCGGAACCACGTCGTCTCCGCGTTCCTCCGCCGGGACCCGCAGAGCGAGGACGCGCGCGCGCACGTGCGCCGCGTCCGCGGCGCGGCCGCGCAGCTCCAGGCGCTCGGCGCCTGCGGCGGCGCGCCCCTGAACCGGTGCCGGGAGGTGCTGGAGAAATGCGACGAGGCCGGCGACGCGCTGGGCTTCGGGGAGGCCGTGCTCGCGCGGAGCCTGGCGGCGGCGGAGCGCGCGCTCGAGCGCGAAAGGCTCGCGGCGCTCGTCCGGGGCGGCGGCGGCCGCGCCGACGCCGCGCCGGACCCCGCGGGCTGGCACGTCGACCACGCCGTCGACGTCGAGAAGCGCTGCGCGGGCTGGCGCGCGTCGAGCCGCGACCACCTCCGGTTCCCGAAGGGCGGCGGCCGCTTGACGCGCGACGACTGGGGCCTCTGCGGGACGCCGGGCCTCAACGGCGACGTCCCCCGCGACATGGAGCTGCGCCTCGCGCGGGTCCTGGGCGCCGACGGCGTCACGCGCGACGCGTTCGTCGTCGCGATCCTCTCGCCGGAGCGCGGCGCCGCGGCCGTCGGCGCGCGGCGCCACGCGACGCGGCGGCGCCGGGCCTGGGCCGTCTACGCGGCGCTGCGGGACCTGTCCTGCGTCGCCTGCGCGCCGCGCGCCTACGGCTGGGTCGAGGACCACCCGGGCGACGGCGAAAGGCGACAGGCGGGCGCGGACGAGCCGCGGTCGACTTCCACGCTCTTGGTCTACGAGCGGCCCCGCGGCGCCGCGCCCCTCGCTTCGGAGCTCGCGCGGCTCAAAGGGGCCAAACACCGCGTGCCCCTGACGGCGACGGCGCCCCTCGTGCGCCACTGGCTCCGCGAGGCCCTCGCGCGGTTCGCCGAGGTCGACGGCCTGTGTCGCCGCGATCTCGACGACGGCGACGGCTCCCGGCCCCTCGGCGCGCGGCACCTGTGGATCGGCGAGCACGGCGCGGCGCTGCGCCTGGCGTCGGCGCGCTGGGGCGACGAGCTCGAGCCGCTGCCCTCCGGGCGCGACGCGGTCCTGGACCGGAGCCGGCGCCTCCTCGCGGCCTTCGCGGACGCGGCCGACGCCATCGTCGACGGTTTGTGCGGCGGAAGCAACACCGCAAAACCCGGCGACGCGCCACGCAAGGTCTACAACGAGCGCGACGCGCTCGCGGGCGTCCACGTCTGCCCCGGCGAGCGCTTCGACGTTTTGCTCGACGCGCCGAAAAAGGGCCACGCGCACGCCTGGCGCTGCCCGGATCTGGGCGAGTCCGCGCGCGACTGCGTCGACGTCCTCGACGGCTGCGACACACCGGGCGCGCCGCTGCCCCGCGACGGCGCGCGAGCGCGGCTCCGCTGCGTCGCGAAGCGGGCCGGCGCGGTCGCGCTCGCGGTCGTCGCGGTCTCCCGCGACGGCCACCGGAGCGACGCGCTCACCATCAGCGTCACCGTCGGCGACAACGCGCTCCCGGGCGAGCTCGCGGCCATCCTCGCCGTCTGCCGCGACGCCCGGGGGTCCCGCGACGGCGCGCCGGCCGCCGTGCCCTGCGCGCCGCGCGCGCTCCTCGCGCACGACTTCTTCCGCCCGCTGACGAAGGACGACCTCGTCGACGCCATGGACTCCTACAACCGCCTCTTCCTCGCCGACGACTCCGACGACGAAAACGGCCCGGGCGACGGCGCCGCGCCGCTCCCCTTCCCCGGGGACCCGCGGCCGCCGCGGAGGGGCGGCGCCTCCAGGAGGACCGCTAGGCGACCCTCGTTCGAACCGGACGACTTAGCGCGCCTCGAGGGTCTCCGCCTTTTCGATGAGGGGCTCGTGCTCGAGCCGCGTCGCCTTGGGCCGCGGCAACGGCACGAAGTACGCGCCGACGCACGAGAGCACCGCGACGACGGCCGAGATGAGGAACACGGGGAAGAGGCCGAACGCCGTGAGGAGGAGCGGGTAGGCGGCGGACCCGGCGACGGCGCCGACCTTGCCGAGCGCCGCGGCGAGGCCGTGGGCCCGCGCGCGGACGTGCGGCGGCGCGAACGTGTTGGGCAGCGCGTAGATGGCGATGCCCGGCCACTGGATCGCGCCCCGGAGCAGAATGAACATAACGAGAAGCGCCGTCGTCGCCGCGTCCGACGCCAGGCGGTAGAGCGCGAGCGCGAAGAAGGACGCCGCGGCGCCGAGGCCGCCGAGGAGGAAGCTCCGCCGGCTCCCCGCGGCGCGGATGTGGTACACGGAGGCCACGGCCGCGAGGAACTGGGCGACGCCCGCGAGCAGGGCGGCGGCCAGCACCGCCGAGACGTCGTCGCCCAAGATCGCGGACTCGAGCTCCGGGTAGTAGCAGATGATGCCGTACGCGTACGTGTTGTAGCCGAGCCACGCCGCGGCCGCGCCGCCGAGGGCGACGCGGAAGCCCCGGTCCTCCTCGAGCAGCGCGAGGAAGGCGTCGCCCGCTTTCGGCGCCGCGCCGGCCGCCTTGGCCGGTGGCGGCGCCGGCGGCCGGTCGGACTTGGGCAGCCCGTCCGCCAAAAGCAGCGCCCACGCGAAGGGCACGGCGCCCACGAGCAGCATGCTCCGCCACCGCGCGCCGCTGTCGAGGCCCGGCGTCGCGTAGATCGCGTAGGCCGTCGCGTAGAGCGCGAGCACGCCGCAGGGCTGCCCGAAGTTCGCCGCGGCCACGGACAGCTCGCCGACCGCGTCGCTGTCGCTCCGCTCGTAGGCGAGCGCCGCCGCCAGCGGGTAGACGCCGCCGATGCCGACGCCCAGCACGAAGCGCGCGACGCACAGCACGGCCGCGACCTCGGCCTCCGTGTCCATCGGCGTCGCCGCCGACAGCACGACGCCGAAGACGGACAGGAACATGGCCGCCTGGAGGCCCTTGACGCGCCCGACGCGGTCGCCCACGTAGCCGAAGCTCACCATGCCGATGATGCAGCCCGCGAAGACTAGAGAATCGAGCACGCTCATCTCCCAGCCCCGCGTCAGGCCCTCGGCGTCGCCCATGAGCATCACCGCGATCTCAATCGTACTGAAATTCATCGCCGCGCCCGCGTTCGCGAGCAGCGCCACGAGCACCTTCCGCCGGCCCACGTCCGCGGGGCCGCAGCAGCCCATCGTTGCGCGGTTCCTTAAACCTGCCTCACCATCCTCGTCATCGATTCGGGCAACGGCATCATTGACGCCATCGAGAGCCTCACTATGCAGGGCAGCTCCAGCCGGGCAGCCTCGCGCGCGCGCGATCTCGCGGCGCCGCGTCGGCAGCGCCATGTGGCGCCGGTGCCAGGTCGCGGGCTACGCGGTGCTGGCGCCGCTCACGGCGAGCTACCTCGTCCTCGCGTGCATGACCGTGGGCCGCTGCTACGTGCAGCCCTGCTACGAGGGCTGGGGCCTCGACGAGCTCTGGAAGGTGAACAAGGGCGTCGGCGTCGCCGGCGTCTGCGGCGGCGCCGTCGCGCTGGGCCACGCGCTCGCGGGCGCCCTCTGCTTCGGCTGCCGGCCGCCGGACGAGTCCGCGCGCTTCGTGCTCGGCGCGTTCGCCGGCGCGTCGCTCGTCGTCGCGCTGACGATGCTCGGCCAGGCGGCCATGTGGACGGCCATGTGGCACCTCCTCTACGGCCTGGGCCACATCAACCCGGGCGAGGGCATCCTCTACGAGTCCGGGCGCCACATGTTCGTCGAGGCCTGGCTGCGGACGCGCTGCCGGTCGCTCGCGCTCCTCGCCGCGCACTGCTGCCTCGTCGAGCTGCTGCTCGTCGTCGGCCTCGCCGCGCACCACCGGCGCGTCGTGAGCCACTTCAAACTCGCGGGCGGCGCGGACCCCTCGGAGACGACGCGCTTCAACGTCGGCTACCAGCTCGTCGACGGCGCCGAGGGAGGTGTGAAGTAAGGGACGCGGCGGGTGTGCATCGCAGCGGGGCACACCCTGTCGGCGCGCCGACTCGCCGCGGACCTGGCGCGCGAGGTCGCACGCGGCGATTAGGAGCGCGCGGCGTCCGCGGGCGCTCATCCTTTTTTCTCGAACATGGCCATGCGCGCCTTCATCTTGGCCTTCTTGGCCTCGGCGGCCTTCTTGAGCTCGGCGGCCTGCTTCTCCTTCTCCTTCTTGAGGGCGTCCTCGCCGCTCTGCTTGTTGGCCTTGCGCTTCGCGGCGTTGAGCGTGAGCTCGATGCGGTTCATCTCCGTCTTGTCGCCGCTCTCGAGGATGACGAGCTCCTGCTTGGCGGCCATGCCCTTGACGCCGCCCTTCTCCGCCTTGGCCGTGAGCTCCTTGATCTTCGCCTCGCGCTTCTTCTTCTCGTCCGCGAAGGCCTCGAGCGCGGCCTCGAGCTGCGGGCTCAGGCCCTTGGGCATGGTGAAGAGCTCCTCGAGGAGCTTCTTGCCGACGCCGCAGACGCCGACGCAGTCGTTGCCCAGGTCCTCCTCGGGCGCGGCCTCGTGGCGCTCGTAGTACTCCTTGAGGATCATCGCCTTGTAGTGGAGGATGAGGTACTCGATGAACGAGATCTGGCCGTCGCTGTTCATGTCGACGTCCTCGATCTCGTGCTTGCGCTGGATGCCCGTGCGCGTCTTGCCGTGCTTCTGGAGGAAGTCGGCGGCCTGGATGTGGTTCATGGAGCAGTCCGACGGGCCCGTGTCCTTCGCGTGCTTCTGGTAGTCGGAGCACATCTGGGGCACGTCCTTCCAGGAGTCGCCGAGGGCGAAGATGAAGCTCTTGAGGAAGTACTCGCACTGGTCGACCCTGCGGGCGGGGGCGGGCGTTGGCGCTCGGCGGGGGGTCCGCGGCGGACGCGGCGGGCGCGCGGATCCTGGTTGCAGAGTTCGGTGAACTTGTCGCCCTGGGTGTGCGCGCGCAGGCGCGACCCCTTGACCTTGTAGGGGTTGTTGTCCTCGTTCCCGTCGAAGGGGTCGTGGATCGACACGCGCCGTTTGCCCTCCATGGCGGCCATGCTTCTCTTCGCGGCTGGAACAGGCCGCAGAGCCACAGACTATACTCAAGTATATCGTCTTGATATGTTCAATAACATTGTATCCAGACGCGGCCGCGGTTTCGGCTTCGAGAGTGGGATGGCGGCGGTGCTGCCGCCCCCAAAGCACGTGAGCGGCGCCGGCCGGGCCGCCTCGGTGGCGAGCGCCTTGCTCGGCAACGGCCGCTTCACGGGCATCCGGAAGCACGGCCAGCTCGGCCCGCGCGTCCAATCGCCGCTGCTGCGCCTCGGCCCGCCCGGCGAGTCGCTGGACGTCGGCGGCGCGCTGCGCAAGCTCCTCGCGCGCTCCGGGGCCTTCCGGTGCGCCTTCGAGGCGGTCCTGAGCGAGCCGCAGGTCGAGACGCTGCGCTTCGTCGAGGCCGCGGAGGCGCTGCGGGGCGCGTCGCGGAGCCGCGAGCAGGAAAGAGCGCTCACGCTCGCGGCGCAGCTCTTCAAGACCCACGTCGTGCACGCGTCGCGCGCCTTCGCGGGCATCGGCCTCGAGCGGCGCACGGCGGCGACGGGCGAGATCTGGGCCGCCGACGACCTGCGGCAGGAGGCGCAGCCGCGGGCAGCAAAAGAGAGCGAAATTCCCAACTTCAAAGGCTCATATCTCGGCCGTTTTCCACCCGCTTCGCCTGACTTTTGGACGAGCGATCATCTCTCGGAACGGTCTCGAAGCGTGGATGCTTTTTCCGGAACGCGCGCGCGCGGAACACTCACGTTGAAGCGACGTTGAATCACTCTTGTGCTGCCCAGGCGCAGCCGCGGTCCTACGCCGTCGTGGCCGAGGTTTTAGACGCCGCGGACCGGCGGTGGAAGCTGCTCGTGCTCGAGGCCTTCCCCGTCCTGTGCGCCGCGACGGACTGGGACGCCCTGCTGGCCGAGGTCTACGCCGACGGCGCGGAGCAGCTCCTCGACGTCGCGCTGAAGCGCCGCGTCTACGACGGGCCGAGCTGGCTCCGCCTCGTCGGCGACCTCTTCGAGGCTTCCGACGTGCCGCTGACGGTGTCCGACGTCGCCGTGCCCGGGAACCCCTTGGTCTTCGGGAACGCGGCCTTCCGGGATCTCGTGGGCTACGACTTCGACGAGTTCCTCGGGCGGAACTGCCGCTTCCTCCAGGGGCCCGCGTCGGAGCCCGAGGCGCTCGCGTGCCTCAGCGCCTGCCTCCAGGAGCGGCAGGACTGCGAAGTCGTGCTGACGAACTACCGCAAGAACGGCCAGATGTTCCGGAACCTCGTGAGCTTCCGGCCGCTCTTCGACGCCGACGGCGGCTATAGATTCGTGCTCTGCGTCCAGCACGAGGCGCAGGACCGCGACATCCTCGAGCGGCGGCGGAACCTGCGGCGCCTCGACGACGTCGTGACGCGCCTGCCGCGGCACCTGCCCTTTGGGGGGGAGCGCGTCGCCGAGGCGGCCCTCGCGGCCGCGGCGGCGGCCGCGGACGCGTCGGAGCGGACCGCGGACCCGGCGGCGCGCGCGCGGCGCCTCGTCTTCGCGCTGTCGGCGTTGGGCCTGGCGCTCGACGGCGAACGGGCATTGGGCGACTTGTTGGCGTCGGCGCCGCACCGCGCGGCGCTGAAGCAGGCCGCGGCGGACGCGGACTTTGGAAGCCCGGCGGCCGCGTGGGCTTTAGACGCCGTCGACGCGGTGTCGTTCAAGCGCGACGTGCGCTACAAGCGCGCGGCGACGGGCGCTTTAGCGGCCGACTTCCTGCCGCAGATCCTGGAGAGCCCGGGTGGTCCTCAATTCGTGAAGGATTTGGTGAAGGCGGACGGCGAGGCCGACCGCGGCGTCACGGCCGCGCGCGACGTCGGCGACCTGGAGGACCCCGGCGACTTCCGCGAGCTCTTCGTAGCTTGCCTCAAGGGCGCCATGGAGCACAGCGCCCTGGCCTGCATCTGCTGCGACGTCGCGAGGCCGGGCGCGCCCATAGTCTTCGCGAACGACGCGTTTCTGGCGTTGGCGGGCGCGGAGACGGAGACGGACGTGCTCGAGGAGAACTGCCGGCTGCTCCAGTGCGCGGGCACGCGGGCCTACCTCGTGGAGGAGCTGCGGTCCGCCGTGCGGGGGCGCCGGGGCGCCTTGGTTCGCCTGACGAACGCGCGCGCCGCGGGCGCGGCGGGCCACGGCGGCCACCGCGGCGACGACGACCGGGGCACCTTCGAGTGCCTCGTGGCGCTCCACCCCGTCTTCGGCGCCGACGGGTCCTACGCCTTCCAGGTCGGGCTCCAGGTGAACATGGACGCGCCGTCGGACGCCGTCGAGGCGCAGCTCGCGGCCGTCGACGCGTTCCTGCGGGGCTGCCCGTCGTCCGTGGACTGCGGGTTGGACGGCGACGCGGCGGCCGTGCTGGCGGGCCTCGAGGTGCCGAGGCGGCTCGAGACGCCCTGGGCGCGGGACCTCGCCGAGGACCCCGTGCCCGACGGCGACGCCGCGAAGCCGCTCAAGGAGCGCCTCGCCGTCGAGTCGAACCACCTCGAGGCCATCTTGAAGTTCACGGCGCTCAAGTGGCTCGCGGCGCCGCTGGAGACGACGGCGGCGCTGCTGAGGCAGGGCGGCGCGTGCCGCGCGGCGTTCGCGAAGTACTGCGAGCACCGGTCCGCCGTCGCGAAAGCGTTAGTCCGATGCTGGCGCCAGATCGACGCGATCCTCGGGGGCGCGACGCAGGCGGCCCAGGGGCGTTTGGCATCGCGGGCCTTCCGCGAGTACGCGGAGAACCCGCTCTACGTGACGTCGACGATCGAGATCCCCGTCGGCGCGCTCAGCGACCCGGCCTTCGACTGGGCGCCGATCTTGACGAAATTGCCGGAGCTCCAGCACCGCTGCGTGCGCGTGCTGTCGCGGGTCTTACCGGGCTTCCTGCGGGCGAAGCACGGCCGCGAGCTCGTCGCGGCGATCTTGGGCTTGCGGGGCACGCGGAGCGGCGACCTGCCGAGCTGCCTCGACGTCGACGCGGACCTCCACACGGCGGCGCACCACCCGCGCCAGGGCGTGCCGTTTTTATCGATGGACAAGTACGCGCGGACCGGCGCGAGCCTGTGGCGCGAGATGGCGTACCACACGTTCCGTTCCGGCGAGTGGCCGACGGCCTGCGTCGTCGAGCCCGGCGCGCCGCCGTCCCAGACCTGGGCGGCGGCCGTGCGGTCGGCCTTCGGCGAGTCCGCGCCGGACGACGCGGCGGACGCCGCCCGGGGGGCGGCGACCGCGGCCGTCGTCTCCACGAAAAGCTGCAACGTCGCGGTGCTGCCAGTGGGCGACGGCGGCGGCGCGCCGCGCTTCCACGTCGTCTTCGCCTTCGCGTTGGCGGGCTTCGAGGCTTTGGAGGGGTGCCGCGCCTGCGGGCCTATATTGAGACGCTGCCCGCGGTCCGCGGACGGCCGGCCCGCCGCGCGGCGCCGGTCCAAGGCGACGAACGAGCTCTTCCCGTCCTCGCGGCCCAGCGGCGCCTTCTCGACGGACCGCGCCTCCGGCGCGTCCCTGGGCTTCGCGCCGTCGGCGGCGGAGCTCGGCACGCTGTCCACGTCGACGCCGCGGCGGCCGCAGCGGCGCGACGGCAAGAGCCCTTTGGGCCGCCGCGCGCGGCCCGGCGTGATCGGAGGGGTGTCGGAGGTGTCCCTCCCGGCCGGGGCCAAGCCCCTCGAGTCGCCGGCGGCCAAGGTCCTGCGCACGTCCATCAACCGGCGCCTCGACCGCTACCTGCACCGCCGCGCGCAGAAACACGAGCGCGACCTCAGCCAGGGCCACCACCTCAACGAGCACGGCGAGCAAATGTCGAACCTGGACGCGCGGTCCCAGAGCGTCGTCTCCGGCCAAGCGACGCTCAAGACGCTGCTCGCGGAGCGCGCGAACCTCCGGCGCGACGGTCTACTGGAGAAGGCGCTCGAGCTCGACGCGCCCATCGCGGCGCTCCAGGACGCGCAGAAGCGCGAGCGGGCCGCGCGCTGCAAGCGCCAGCTCGTCGCGGCGAAGCAGCGCGTCGCCGTCCAGCACGCCGCGCGGGAGCGCGCTTTGGAGGAGCACCACGCGCAGGAGCGGATGGCGCGCGATCGCGACGCGCGGACCGCGCTCGAGCTCCTGAAGCGCGAGCACGACCGCCAGGCGTCGTCCTACGTCGAGGAGATGGTCGACAAGGCCGAGGGCTACGAGAAGCCCGCCGCCGACGCGCTGCCCAGCGACCGGCCCGCGTACCTCGCCGCGAACCAGAAGTTCAACATCCGCACGCGGACGAAGACGCCCGAGTTCGTGCGCCAGCTGAAGCTCGCCAAGCACCTGCGGAAGAAGAAGCGCTTCGCCGAGGCCGACGAGCACGAGCGCCACGCGCGGAAGCTGGATCTGGAGACGGCGAAGTCCCACTGCGACGCCGTGAAGAGGGTCGCGACGGGCCGGCGCCTCGAGAACCTGGTCGTCCAGCACCAGAACGCCTACGCGGCCCTCGAGCGGCGCCACGCGAGCCGGTTGCTGTCCATGGAGCGCCGCCAGGAGAAGGCGCTCGCGAACCTGAAGAGCCTGCTCCACGTCGAGCTCGCGAAGCTCGACAAGCAGTACCGCACGGCGCTGTCCGCGAACTACGCGACCTTCGACGAGGCCCAGGCCGTGGCCCGGGTCGACTTCGCCGCGCCGCGGCCGCCGTCCGCGCCGCCGCGCCTCCGCCGCCGCGCGTCCTCCGTCACGCGCAACGACGGCAAGACCTTCGGCTCCCCGCGGACGCTCCACGGCTCCATGTGGACCGCCGGGCCGGTCTAGGCAGGGGCCGCTTTAACTCTTACCCGTGTCGAGGATGGTGGCTGCTAGCTTTGGCGCGTCGCTTTAACTTTTACCCGTGTCGAGGATGATGGACTGGCTGCCCCACGGGGGCAGCCGCGGCGTCGGCGCGGGCTTGGGCGCGGGCGGCTCCGGCGGCGGCGCGGCGTCGCCCCGGCGCGGCGGCGCGACGACCGCCGCGAGGAGGCGCTCGAGGGCGGACTCGTGGCGCGCGGCGGCGGCGCGGGCCTCGCCGGACGCCGCGGAGAGGCCGTCCGCGAGCCGCGCCGCCGTCGCGTTCGCGGCCGCGTCCGCGTCCCGCAGCTCCGCGAGGTTCTCGCGCCGCGTCGCGACCTCGGCCTCGATGGCCGACGCGAGGTCCCCGAGGGCGCCCTCGAGGAGCGCCGCGCCCGCCTCGGCGTGGGCGACGCGCGCGTCGACGCGCGTGAAATTCGCCGCCGCGGCCGCGAGCGCGCCCGTCGCCTCGGCGACGTCCGCGCGGAGCCCCGCGGCGTCCGCTTCGAAGGACAGCGTCGCGGACAACGTCGCGTTGCGGTGCAGGTCGGCCTCGATGGCCGAGAGGTTCTGGGCGAATTTCTCGGCGACGAGATCCACGAGGTCGACGACGTCTCCTAAACTCGTCGCGAAGGACGCCTCGAGCGCGAGGGCGCCCTCGGCCGCGGCCGCGGCCGCGCCGGCGGCGCGCCGCTCCGCGGCGACGGCGAGCGCGACGGCCGCGCGCGCGTTCGCGTTCGCCGCGGCCGCGACGTCGGCCCGGGCCGCGGCGCCGCGGCGCTCGGCGGCCGCGGCGGCCTCGGCGACGGCCGCGCCGAGCGCGGCGACGGCGCGCGACGCGTTGTCGGCGAGGTCCGCGGCGACGAGGTCCACGAGCGCCACGACGTCGGACAGGTTCCGCGCGACGCCGAGCTCCAGGGTCGAAACGCGCGCGAGGGCCGCGGCGGCGTCCGCGGCCGTCGCCTCGGCCGCCGCCGCGACGCCGTCGATGAGGCGCGCCGCGGAGCGGTCGCCGTCGGCGACGGACGCCTCGAGCGCGGCGACCGCGGCGCGCGCGGCCGCGGATTCCGCCTCGACGGCCGCGAGGCGCGCCGCGGCGGCGTCGGCGGCCTCGGCCGCTTGGTCGCGCGCCGCCGCGGCGGCGCCGTCGCGCGCCTCGTCGCGCGCCGCGGCCGCCAGCGCGTCGTTGCGCCGCGCCTCGTCCCGCTTCGCCTCGGCGGCGGCTAAGGCGGCCGCGGCGCCGTCCGCGCGCGCCGCGAGGGCCGCGACGTCGCGCCGCGTCGCGTTGTGCGCGACGTCGACGGCCACGGTCGCCGCGACGGCGTCGCGCACGTCGCCCGCGACGCCGTCGACGACCGTGAGCGTCGCGTCGGCGACGTCGCGGAGCGCGTCGGCTCGCTGGTCGCCGTCGGCGAGCCTCGCGTCGACCGCGTCCGCGCGCGCGCCGAGGGCTTCTGTTGTAGCGACTAGCCCGTCGAGTTTCGCCGCCGCGGCGCCGGCCGTCGCCGCGGCCGCCGCGAGGCGCACGCCGGCCTCGGCCGCGTCGCGCTCGAGGCCCGCGACGCGCGCGGCGGCGGTCGCGTCCGCCGCGGCGATGGCCTCCAAAAGTCTCGTTTCCGCGGCGGCGGCCGCCGCCTCGAGCCGAGGCCCGCGTGCGACTCGCGCCACCGCGCCTCGGACCGCTCCGCCTCGGCCGCGAGCCGCGCCTCGACGGCCGCGACCTCGCCGCGCCAGGCGCCGTCGGCGTCGTCCGCGCCGCCGCCGCCGCCGCCGCTGCTTTTGAGCGACTCGCGGAGTCGAGCCTCGGCGCGCTCGACCTCGACCCGGAGCCGGATCTCGACGGCCGCGACCTCGCCGCGCCAGTCGTTGTTGACGGTGTTGGGCGCGACGCCGCCGCCGCCGGCCGCCGCCGCGACGGCGGAGACGACGCGCTCGGCGGCGGCGTACTCCGCGCGCGCCTCCGCGAGCGCCGCGCCCAGGGGCGCCACGCGGTCCTCGACGTCGCGCAGGAGCGCCTCCCGCAGGCCCGCGACCTCGGCCTTGACCGCGGCCTCGACGAGCGCCGACACGTCCGCGCCAGACGCCACCGCGGTCGCCGCGCAGGGCACCGGCAGGCACGGCGCCGCCTCGTCGCACGCGGCGCCGCCGCTCGCACCGGGCGTCGACCGCCCGTCGAGGACGACGACGCGGCCCAGCGCGAGCCGGAGCAGGGCGAACGCGGCAGCCCTGCGCATCATCTCTCTTCGTGCTGCCCCATCATTTGATCACCGGCACCAACATCCAACTGCGCGAGGTTGTTTGAAGGGTGCTTGACGGTGCTTGCACGCCCGAGGCTGACCTCCAGGCCCGCTTCGGCGCGCTCACGGCGCTCCGGCCGCGGCGGGACTCGTCCCTCGACTCCCAGGCGTCCTAACGTCGCCGCACCTAGGGCCCGCCGCGGCGAGGAAGCGGGCGCCCGACGGCGTGGCCGCAGGGCTCCGCGCGCCACGGCCAGCCCGCGTAGAAGCCGCGGTGGCTATATCGCGGCATCCGCGCGAGGACCGCCGTCGGGTGGCGCCGGAAGAGCGAGATGTGGTCGTCGACATTCTTATAGGAGCAGATCAGGTCGTCGTTCGCGTTCAGGACGAGGATCAGTCTACATGTCCCCGAATGCCTCCTTTAGCCTTGCTTCATGATCAACTCCAGAGCTGTCGGCGTGGTGGACTCGATTATCATAGGATCTCCATTGATTTTCATCCACCTTATTCTTGTTGTAACACGCATTGGCAGCCATTCCACAGAATTGGCAAAATTTATAAAGAAAAAACAAAGTCCAATAAGTGATTGTAGCAGCCACATAAGTAATAGCCGAAATGACAAAAAAACAGTTGAAAAAAGCGTGGTACCAAATTCTAGGCGGTTTGGTCGAGGCTTTAAAAAACCAAATCATCGCAAGCTCGAAATTGAAACAAACTTCAAAGAAATCCGTCTCGAGTCCGAGCATGATCTGGTCCTTGCGCGAGAAGCCGGCGCGGCTCGCGTCGTCCGGTTTCCATCCGAGGCGGTCGATGCAGCTTACCATGTATTCGCAGAGCTCGGAGGCGTTGCGCACGCGATTGTAGATGCTGTGGCCCGAGAGGCCCTCGCGCGCGACGAGCATCTGGCGGTGCACGACCTGGACCTCGCACACGTGCTTCGCGTCGTCGTCGGCGAGGTAGAAGTTGAGCATGAGGTCGCGCCAGCCGCCGGCGCTCGCGGCGGCGTCGTCGTAGCGGTTCTTCACGCGCGTGAGGACGACGCGGGGGTTCGAGCCGAAGGCTTTGACCACCGCGGCGACGGCGCCCATCGACGGGGCGACGAGCATGCCCCGGACGACGTCGAAGACGCCGTCGACGGTGCCGGGCGGCGCGTCGACGCGGAAGAGGCTCTTCTCGACAATTCGCGTGGTCGACTTCAGGCCCGCGGGCAGCTCGAGCTCGACGGCGGGGACGCGCGCGGCGACGTCTTTCACGAGCGCGTCGTATCCGGGCTTCGCGCACGCGGCGTCCTCGTAGAGCGCGACGACGTCGCACCCCGCACGCTGCTTCGCGCCCGCGCCGGGGAGGGCGAGCTCCGCGACGGCGGCGGAGTAGGCGGCGAGGCCCTCGGCGTCCGCATTGGCGATGGTCGTCCACATCGAATTGTAGACCGCGCGGAAGTCTCGGTTGCCCTCCTCGACGACCGCGACGCAGCGCGAGTAGATCTTCGCCTCCCCGAGGCGCACTGCCATCGCCTCGCCGATCACGTTTTCCAGCTCCGCGACGAGCGGACGAAGCGCGGTGGCGGACTCGGCACTTGCACGAGACGTCAGCACCCACCCCTCGGTGCGCTTCAGCTCCGGAGCGGCGACGAGCCGCTGCACCGGCTCGAGCTTGCACAGCGGCGTGAAGTCCCGGAGCACCTTGACCATCTGCGCCTCCTCCGCGTCATCGGCGTGCTTCTCCTCGGGTCCCGCGCCTGACGGCTTCCGCGGGCTCGCGAGTTCGGATCGCGCCTCGACGGCGGAGAGCTTCGCCTTGAGCGCTCGGTTCTCCGCCGCAACCCGCTCGACCTCCGCTCGGTTCTCCGCCGCAGCCCGCTTGACCTCCGCTTGGAGAGACGCCACGGCCTCTTGCGCTGCCGCTTCTCTCGCCACGCTCAAGTAGTTGCCCAGCATCGACTCCATTTCCTGGGCCGAAGTCGCGCTCTGCTTTACCTCGGAAGTCATTACCTTTCAACCGTCACCGAGGTGCGGAGCTTGCGGTGCGCTACTACACAATGTCATGAACCTCGTCTCGATGCGAGGACCTGGTACTTCCAATAATCATGGATACTTCCGCTTTTAGTTAAATCGTTATTTCGTAATTCTTTTCACGTGATCCCGTGGAGGTTGCGGTCTTTAACTCACACCCCTGGAGGCGCGCGCAGAACCCCTCCCCGCACACCACCAGCAGCTCCAGCCACGGGTAGGCCCCGGCCACGCTCTCGAGCTTCGCCCGCCACCGGGGCAGCGCCCAGCGACGACATGATGTTTGCTGGTGCGGCTGCCCGCCCCGACACTCACGTGCGACAGGCCGGGACGACGCCTGCAATAATTATTATGCAAGCGCATCAGTCTTTTTGGCAGAGTATGGCCGAGTCCAAAACCCGCCAGTCTGCGCTTTGATACCTGCGTCATCTAAGACCGATGGACAAGTTCCTCAAGCGCAAGCCGACGGACGACGCCGGCCCTGATGATGCAAAGAAGCAGGCCCGCGTGCGCCCGACCTTCGTCGTGGCTCCAGGCGCCAGCGGCGGCGATTGCGCGCTCCTCTCCGCGGCGCTCGGCACGCTGGGCCGCACCTGCACCATCGCCGGCGGCAAGTGGGCCGGCAACTTCCCGTCGCAGATGGGCGCGAACGTCGCGCTCGTCGAGGCCGCGGCGTCGCGCGCGGCGGCGGACGCGCCGGACGCGCCCGTCGTGCTCGTCGGCCACTCCTTCGGCTGCCGCGTCGTCGCGGCGCTCCTCGTCAAGCACGCCGCGGCGCGCGACCTGCCGGCGAACGTCGTCCTCGACGGCGCGATCCTCGAGAGCTACCCGCTCTACGGCGACTCGCCGCCGAAGCCGACGACGGACCGCGCCGCGGCCGCGCGCGCGCTCCCGGCGGAAGCGAAGGTCCTCTTCCTCAGCGGCGCCAACGACCCGTTCCTCAACCGCACGAACAAGTGGCGCGACGCCGCCGCGCCGACGGGCGCCGCGGCCCTGGACGCCATCCTCGCGGACGCGCCCTGCCGCGCGACCTCGACCGTCGTCGCGATCGACGGCGCGGGCCACAACGCGCTCAAGGCCAGCAAGGCCAAGCAGGAGACCGCGCGCCGGACGGCCATCGCGGCGCTCAAAGCGCACGTACGGGTGCTATGCCCGGAGAAGCCGGCGGAGAAGTAAGGTCTTAAAGCCCATCACGAAGAGAACATGTCCGTGAACGCGAAGGTCGTCCAGGTCCGGTCCGGCGCGTCGTTGGCGGGCGCGTCGAGCGCGGCCTTGGAGATGGAGAAGCGCATGTCGTCGGGGTGGAAGATGATGCTGTGCTCCGTCGTGCCGTGGGACACGGTGCGCAAGAGCGTCTGCATCTTTGCCTCGTCGACGGGCGTCGCGCGCGCCGCGGCCGCGTCGCGGAGGAGCGCCTCGACGCGGTTCTTGCCCGCCTCATAGCGCCAGAGCGACGAGAAGGTCGCCGCCTGGCCGTTGCAGCGCGCGGAGCCGTTGTTCCGCACGTCCAGGGGGTCCGTGTTGTATCGCCAGTAGTGGTTCGAGGCCATGACGCCCTCTCGCTGGAACGGCTCGACGTTGGGCTGCGCGGGGCCGCGGACCGCGTGGCCCCGGAGGTCGCCCTCGATGATCCAGCCCGCGTCGCCGGGGAGGTCGAGGGACGGCCGCGCGAAAACCAGGATGCAGCCGCTGATGCACGCACCCCCGGTCGCGTTCGAGGCCCACCGCTCTTCGACGGCCGCGAGCGCGGCCCCGGGCGTCGGCAGCCGCGGGAGGCCCAGGCCCGCCTCGGGCTCCTGCAAGAGCCCGAGGATCATGTCGCGCTCCGAGGGGACCGTCGCGCCGGCGGCCAGCGGCTCGAGCGCCGGCGAGCAGCCCGCGTTCTCCATGAGGTACGTGCCGTCCTCGTTGAAGGCCGACGACGCGCCGACGAAGCCCGGCCACATGGCGTGCACGACCTTCTTCGCGCCCGCGTCGGCGAAGAGCACGAGGGACCGCACCGTGACCTTGCGCACGTCGTTCTCGCCATCCATGTTGCGGCCCGCGATCGTGCCCTCGCCGCCCGTGAGGTCCCCGAAGAAGACGAACTGCGTGCAGCTGTCCTCGCGCTCGTGGCGCGCCGGCCGGCCGTCGAGCTCGAGGATGCGCGAGAAGTCGTTGTAGTTGTTGATGGCGAGCAGGTCCCCGTAGCCGAAATTACCGACGGACGTGCTCAGATTCGCGCCCGACGCCGCCATGCCCGCGAGCATGCCCCGGACCTTCCGCTCGGCCGTCGGCGACAGCGCGATGCGCCGCTCGAGGGCGTCGCGGATGGCGGGATAGCGGGATTTGATCGCCGCGGGCGCGCCCCGGACGCGGTCCTCCAGAACGAAGAACTCGAAGAAGTCCAAGATCTGCGCCGCGAGGAGGTAGCCGTGGGCCCAGCCGCGCTGCCAGGGCGTGCCCGCGGTCTCGAGCGTGTGGTAGCCCCCGTCGAGGACGCGCAGGACGCCGAAGCCCGTGCCGTTGCCGGGCGCGGCGACGCGCGCCGGCGCGGGCATCGCCGCGAGCGGGCGGATCTCGACGTCGACGTCGTCGAGGCGGGCGCCGTCGCCGACGACGAGCGACCGCGCGCAGACCGCCGTGTGGCCTACCAAGCGTGACGGTGACGATTTTTCATCGTTTTCCCGGTCAAAATCTCTCGAGAATCGTCACCGCCACAGGACGCTGCGTGTGGCTGTGCTCGTTGCACTCGGCGTCGCCCGTGTGGAAGCCCATCTGGGGCAGCGAGAAGTCGATCCACGCGGCGCCCTTGCGGCGCACGAAGGCGACGACGGCGAACGCGCCGGACACGTCGTCAAACCGATACGCGTAGGCCCCGTCGTCTTCCGCGGGCGTCGCCGCGACGTCGTGCGCCGCGGGCGACACGTCGCCGTAGGAGAGGAAGGCGCCCTGGACGCGCAGCTTCTCCAGCGGCAGCGGCGAGCCGTCCGTGCGCGTCGCGAGGGGCACGAGCGCCGCGGCGACCTCCTCGCCGGCGCCGAGGCTCCGGCGCCAACGCACCGTGCCGGACACCGTGCCGGCAGAAGCGCAGCCGAGCAGGAGGAGCGTCAGGGCAGCCCACGGCCGCATCATGATCATCGGCGACCGGGAAGGCGTTTCTGGTGCAACGTCGACCTCAAGTGTTTACAGCTCGGGCCTCCGCGGCGGCGCGTCGGGCCCGAAGACGACGGGGAGGAGCGGGTGGTCGATCTCCGCGCCCTCGCGCAGGTCCGGGAGCCAGGCCTCGTAGGAGAGCTCGTCCTCCGGGTTGAACGCGGGCCGGCCCCGCCGCGCGCCCGCCGCGGCGAGGTCCGGCAGCGGCGTCGCCTCGGCCGTCACGTAGGAGACGGCGAAGGCGCGCCGCGCTTTGCCGTCCGGCCGCTGCGGCGGCGCGCGGGTCCAGGTCCAGCCGTGGTGCGCCGTGCAGTCGCCGACGGCGAGCGCCGCGACGCGCTCCAGCGGGTAGCGCCGCGCGAGGACGCCGTCGACGGCCTCCGGCGCGTCGCCGTACCAGCGCTCGAAGCCCACGTCGCGGTGGCTGCCCGTCGCGAAGACGAGCGTCGCGTCGCCGCCCTCGAGGGCCCGGCCGTAGGGGCACCAGAACGTGACGAGGCCGCCGCCGGCGACGTCGACGGGGCAGAACTGGAGGTCGCGGTGCCAGCCCGTGGCGTTGTTGAAGTGGGCCGGATCCTTGACGAAGAGCGCGCTCTGGTAGAGCCGCACGCGCGGCGACTGCAGCAGCGACGCCGCGAACGCGCCGAGGGCCGCGTCCTCGACGACCGCCGCGAGCCGCGGCTCGCGGCGGTGCGCGTTCAGGCCCTGGAAGTACGGCAGGCTCAGGGCGCTCCGCGGGTCCAGGGCCCGCTCGACGCGCACGGAGCACTGGAGCCGGTCGAGGAACCGGTACGCGCCGCCAGCCGCGTCGAGGTCCGAGAAGCTCAGCGCGCCGCAGGCCTCGAAGTGGTCGTGGGACTCGACGGCGATGTGGTGCTTGTCGCGGAGGTAGAAGAGGCTGTAGTTCGCGTAGTCGCGGAGCGTCGACGCGAAGGCCCGGTCCAGCGCGCCTTCGACGGCGACGTCGGCGAGCTCGGGTGCCAGCCCGGGGACCTTCATCCAGCCGCGGCTCGCGAAGTGGACCATCATCTCCAGCGTGACCTGCGCGCGCCGCGGCGCGGCGCGCGTCGCGACGAGCGCCGCGAGCAGCAGCCGCATTGCTGTGTGTGATTAGCTAGAAGCAGCCCATGCTTCGCACCTGGACTTGCAATTGCGAGGCAAGATGCAGTTCAACGAGCAGTACGAGTTGATATCGATCGAGGTTCTCACAGGATCCTCTTAGTAGTCGGAGTCGCGGTCGCTGCGCCAGAACGCAAGCACGTGCGTGAACACGTCTTCAGGCACCTCGACGAAGAGGCGCTCGTGCGCGCGCACGCTCGACAGACCGCGGCGGCGGAGCATCGGCAGATTCCGTCGGAACGCGAGGAGCGCGGCGCGCGGCTGGGCCAGGTGGGCAGCCCAGCCCCCGGCCGCGCGCACGGCGGCGAGGAGAACGTACGCGTCATCGGCATCATAAACTTCCGCGACGCCCACGGCATCTCTACCGTCCGCATCGACCGCGTCGAGCCGAGCGCCCCGACTGAGGAGGAGCTTACACATGCGGCAGCGGTCGAAGAAAGCAGCGGTGAGCAGTGGGGTTCTCTGCCATGGCGTTTCGTCGCGCGCCTCTATTCGAGCACCCGCATAGAGCAGTGTTGCCGCAGCGGCGCATTGGCCATATTGCGCGGCCCTGTGCAGTGGTGTTTTTTTTGGGTGGGGTAATGTGTGTGTGTTCACATCGGCGTCGTGTTGTATGAGCCACTTGATCGCAGAGCACCAACCCATAAACACGGCGTGGTTCAGGCGTGTCTTTTGAGTACACTCGTCCCACATGTCCGCGGCTAGGTCCTCTTTTCTGAGGTACGCACAGCCCGGGTTCAGGAAGTGAAACACACATACCGCGCTCAAGCCACCAGGCGCGCCCGAGGCGAACCATTCGTTCATTTGATCGAGAAAGGCGGCCTCGTCGCCGTGGACGGGGACCATGCTGGGCTCCATGCTGCACATTTGCGGCGGCGGCACGCCCGGCTCGATGCAGTGCTTGCCGCAGATCGCGATGGCTATCTCGGCTATGGCAAAGATTGCATCGGTGCTGGCGCTGCTGGTCGTGTCGGCGGACGCGCTGCAACTCCGCAGCCGCGCGACCGTCGTCAAGGGCGGCCTGGCGACGTGCATCGGCGCGAGCCTCCCCGCGAGCCTCCCCGCGAGCGCCGCGGCGCCCGGCGGCGGCGCGCCGAAGCCGCCGCCGGAGCTGTCGACGAAGTCGGGCCTGCGCTACGTCATCGACCGCGCCGGCGCCGGGCCCAAGCCCCAGCGCGGCCAGACCGTCCTCCTCGACTACGTGCTCCGCGCGGCCGTCGACGGCAAGCCGCCGCTCTACGTCGCCGGGACCAAGGCGAGCGCCGCGCCGCGGCCCGAGGTCTTCACGCTCGGCGTCGCGGCGTCGATCCCGGGCTTCGACGAGGCCGTCATGGACATGCAGGCCGGCGAGAAGCGCATCGTCATCGTCCCGCCGAACCTCGCCTACGGCAAGCAGGGCACCGAGGCCGTCGGCGGCGTCATCCCGCCCGACGCGACGCTCATCTACACGCTGGAGCTCCGCGACCTCGCGCCCCTGGAGCCCCTCACCGCCGAGCAGAAGACGTGGATGGCCGCGAACCCGCTGCCCTGGGCCGAGGCGGCCGCGCCCGCCCCCGCGCCCGCGCCGTCGGCGCCGTCGGCGGAGTAACAACGATGGTGGTCGCGGCGCGTTTGCGTTGAATTCCAGACCGGGTGCATCCGCTTCGACTTACGACCCGTGGCAGGTTATCCCGTTCGTCCTAGACGACCATGAGCGGCGAGCCCCGCCGCGCGGGCGTCCCTTCGCCGTCGCAGAGGACGGCCTCCGCCTCGGGCGTTCGCGCGAAGCCGGCCGGCGGCCACGGGTCCCCGCGCGGCGCGGCCTTCGGGTGGCCGAAGTTGACGATGGCGTCGCCGACCTCGCGGTTCCGCATGAGCACCCAGATGAGGTCGAAGGTCGCGTCCGTGGCGTCGAACGTGAGCAGGCAGCGCTGGCCGTAGGGGTCGAGCATCTTCGACGCGACCTTGAGCCAGCCGATGATCAACACGAACTCCACGGCGGAGAAGAAGGGGAAATACAAATCGATGGGGTCGCCGAGCTGGCGAGGGCGCGTGTACTGGGCCCGGCCCACGAGGCAGAAGACGAAGTAGGAGTAGCAAGCCACGGTGACGACCTGCGTATACAGCAGGGGCACGCCGATCATGTCGAAGTCGAGCATGCGGCCGCACTGCGACCGGAAGTTCAGGAGCTCCCGCGTGAGGAACGTGAGCGCCTGGTCGGACGCGACGGCGCCGGACGCGCGCGCGTCCTTGAGGAGCGACGCGCTCCACATGATGGGGATCCACCACGCTGAACCGTGCGGCAGCTCGCGACTCACGGCCTCGAAGGCGTCGCGGTCCGCCGCGTCGAGCCAGCCGTCGCGCGCGCAGTCCTCGAGCCGCGGGTAGAGCGCGCGCGCGTGCCGCGACACGGACCGGCACGTCACCAAATAGCACAGCTGGCAGTACTTGATCACGCGTTTCGTGGTCGCGCCGTCGTCGGCCGTGCACGCCTTCAAGGCGTTCGCCATGGTGTCGATGTACGGCAGCGTCGTGTACATCTGCCACCAGCGCGTGCTCACGTAGGACACGTAGAACCCGAGGAAGAGGCTCAGCGACCCGAAGTTGAACGCGCTCGTGTAGTAGATGCTATAACTACAAATACGGTTGAAGACGTGGCGCTGGTCCTCGGTCATCGCCACTCGATAGGCCAGCGACAGCGCGAAGTAGAGGAAGAGCCAGACGGCGAGCTCGCGCCAGACGGCCTTCCAGAGCGACGCGCGCCACGACAGCAGCATGCGCAGCATGGCGCAGCGCGCCCGCTTCTCCGGCAGGGCGTAGCGCACGCTGCGGTAAGGGGACGGCTGGTAGCCGACCTCGACGAGGCGGTCGGGCATCGCGTGCCCGGCCATCGGCTGCAAAACGAGCAAGCGGGGCTGCGTTTAAGCGGGAAAAGCTCACTCCATCGCCTTCAAGACCACCAACACTTCATCAACTTGTCTTCAACAACGTCTCGCCACATTCGTGCTCTCGCAAGCCGTCGGCCACGCTCGTCGTCGTCTTGCATGCGCCTCCTCTCCCTCCTCGTCACGAGCGCCGCCGCCTTCGACGCCGCCATGTCCTGGGGCTCGCCGGCCTGGAACTGGGGTAGCGCCAACGGCAAGGCCCACGACGAGGCCGCGAAGCTGCGCGGCGCCCTCGCGACGGAGGCGCAGCGCGTCGACTACCTCGCCGCCGCCAAGGAGGGCCGGATCTCCGAGGCGTCGCTCAAGCTCGCCCTGGGCCTGACCATGCAGCGCGCCGGCCCCGCGCGCCTGCCCGAGCCGCTGCAGAAGACTTACGGGTCGCTCGTCGCCGGCGGCTTCGAGAAGCAGGGGCTGGACGGCTTCGCGAAGCTCGCGCGGACGGCCGCGCCGGCCGTGGACCGCTACAACCTCAACGTCGAGCTCGCCGTCAAGGCCGACCGCGTGGCCCAGTTCCTCGAGTGCATCCGCGCGAACGCGGCGGGCACGCTCAAGGAGCCGCGGAACCTGCGCTACTGCTGGGGCGAGTCCGCGACGGAGCCGGGCACGTTCCACTTCCAGGAGTCCTTCGTCGGCAAGGCGGGCTTCGAGGCCCACGCCGCCGCGCCCCACTTCCAGGCCTGGGAGGCCTTCGCGGGCACGGAGCCGTTCTCGCGCGAGCCCGCCGTCCAGTTCTACGCGCCGTCGACGTCCCTCGCGGACGACCACCCCCCCGCGGTCGTCGCCGCGGCCGTGCTCGCGTCCCTCGACTTCGCGACGAAGGGGTGCTAGATAAAGTGGCCGCCGCCGTCGTCGCGCGGCTCGAGCGCGTCCTGGAGCGCGCGGACGCTCCGCGGCGCGTCGCGGCATCGGAACTCGAAGACGCGGCCCCTGTCGATCTTGTGCCGGAAGACCTTCACGCCCGCGGCGTCGGCCTCCTTCCAGCCGTACTCGCTCGGGTCGTCGTCGTCCTCCTCCTCCTCCTCGCCCGTCTCCGGGTTGATCACCATTTTGGGCGCCTTCTTCTTCTTCTTCTCGATGACGTTGCCGCGCTTGTCCCGGGGCGTCGGCGGCTTGACGCGGATGCCCTTCAGCGCCTCCGTCTCCGTGATGGCGAAGAGCCCGAGGTCCGGCGCCGGGAACGTGGACTTCCGGAGCCGCGCGTCGAGCAATAATGGCGTCACCGACACGACGTAGGGCTTCGTCGACGGCGTGCCGCTCACGGGCACGCCGGCGCGCGCGAGCTCGCGGTCGCGCTGCTGCTGGCTCTTGGCGCTGTCCACGAAGACGTCCACCAGCAAACAGTCCGGCGCGGGCGGCAGGAACCGGTCGTCGTCGTCGCGCATGTCGCCGAGCTGCTCCGCGACCTGGGAACGGGGCGATTCGACGTCGCTTCGACGTGAGTGTTTCGCGCGCGCGCGTTCCAAAAAAAGCATCCACGAGATCGCTCCGAGGGATGATCGCTCGTCCAAAAATCAGCCGAAACGAGTGGAAAACGGCCGAGCCCGTGAAGTTGGGAACGTCGCGCGCTCGTCCCGCGCCGCTCCGCGACCTCGTCCGCGTAGTCGCGGCACCGTTTTGCGATGGACGGCACCTCGTAGGTCGGCGGCAGCGCCGCGACCATGTTGACGAACTCGTCGAAGTTGATCTCCGTGATCATGCCCGTGTCCTCGTCGACGCCCTCCTGGCCGCCGTACTCGCCGATCAAGTTCTCGATGTCCTCCGTGCCGACGTCGACGCCCATGTCCGCGAAGATGGCCGCGAGCTCCTCGGAGTCGATGGTGCCGCCGCCGTCCTCGTCGTACTTGTCGAAGATGCGCCGCGCGCGCGTCGCGACGTTGACCTCCTCGCCCGTGTCGAAGAGCTTCGCCGTCGCGAAGACCTTGGTCGACGGGCTCGTGTCGTCGGGCTGGAAGTCGCGCAACACGGCGTCGACGGCGATGCGCCGCACCTTGACGTCCTTGAGGGCCTTGACCATCTCCGTGAACTGCTCGAAGTTGACCTCGCCCTCGCCCTCCGAGTGGACCTCGACGGCGTCCTCGATCTGCTGCGACGTGAGGGGCATCTTGAGGTCGGCGAAGATCTGCTCGAGCTCCTCGGCGTCCATGGTGCCGCCGCCGTCGGCGTCGTACTTGTCGAAGATGCGCTTCATCTTCGCCGTGTCGTCCTGCTCGAGCGCGTCGACGATGAGGCAGAACTCCTCGAACTCGACCTCGGCCTTGCCGCCGGAGAACTCCTCGAGCATGTCCTGCATCTCGTCGGGCTCGGGCACCTCGATGCCCATGTCCTTGAAGACGGCCTCGAGCTCCTCCGCGTCCACGGAGCCGCCGCCGTCGTCGTCGTACTTGTCGAAGATGGCGCGCATGCGCTGCTCCTTCTCCTCCTTGGACTCGCCCTGGCCGTCGAGGTCCATCAACGCGTCCGTGACGCCGCCGCCGCCGTCGCCCTCCTGGGCCTTGAGCAGCTCCGCGGCCACCTCGCGCGCCTCGCGGCCTGGGCAGCACAAGGGTGATTCAACGTCGCTTCAACGTGATCGTTCCGCGCACGCGCGTTCCGGAAAAACCATCCACGCTTCGAGACCGTTCCGAGAGATGATCGCTCGTCCAAAAATCAGCCAAAACGAGTGGAAAATGGCCGAGATATGAGCCTTTGAAGTTGGGAATTTCGCTCTCTTGTGCTGCCCTGCTCGCGGCGGTCGTAGGCCTTGGCGACGCGCGCCCACGTGGACCGCGCGTTCTCGAAGCTCTGGAGCACGGACGCGACGACGTCCTCGGCGTCCCGCACAAAGTCGGGCCCGTGGCAGACCGCGGCGTCGCGCTGGCTCATGGCCGTGAGCGTGCCCTCGCCGTCCAACACGCAGACGTAGCGGCTCCAGAGCGGGAAGACGTCGACCTTCTTGACGACGTCGATGGGCACGGGGAAGCACTCGCGCACGGGCCAGGCGAGGGCTTCCGCGTAGACGCGGGCGCCGTCCTCGAGCGCCGCGCGCGCGCGCGCGGACTGGAGCAGGAGCCGGAGCGCGTCGGACGCCGAGTGCCACTCCGTCGCGGTCCGCAGGCCTGTGTGGAATTCAAATCTTCAACCCGACTTCAATATGCGCGTAATCGAACTGATTGCGCCGTACTCTTCGACTGTGCTTCGAGAACTCGACGAGAGCAATCGATTCATCCAAAAATCAGCCGAATCGACTTCGATGTGACCGAGCTAGAGAATTCTGAAGCTTGGTCAGGACCACCCAAACCAGTGGTTGAATTCCACACAGCCGCAGGCAGTCCCGGAAGACGGCCACCTCCGTGTTCTTCGCCCAGCGCTGCTTGAGCGTGTCCCCCGAGCCCCGGTGGCCGAAGCCCTTGGCGTCGTCGTCGCCGCCCTTGGCCGCGCGCGGGCCCCGGCGCTTCCGCTCGCCCTCGTCGTCGAGCGACCCCTCGAGATTGCCGCCCCTTCTCGTGAAGCACGTCGGCACCTTGTCGCCCCAGGGCGGCGTCTTCGCCGCCGCCTCCTTCTTCTCCGTCTCCGCGCCGGCCTCGCCCTCGAGCTTGGCGAGCACGGCGTCGCCGAGCCGCGCGAGCGCGCCCGCGCGCGCGCCGTCGTCGGGCGGCCGCGCCGGCGCGGCGAGCGCGGCGAACGCGCGGTGCTTCGCCGCCTCGCGCGCCGCGCGCTCCTCGAGGCGCTGCTGCTCCTTCTTCTCCTTGGCGTCGAGCGCCTCGAGCATGGTGCAGAACTCGTCGAAGTAGACCTCGTCGTGCTCCGCGTCCGTGACCGCGTACTCGAGGAGCATCGCGTCGATCTCCTCCTTGGGCAGGACCTTGCCCATGTCCTGGAAGACGGCGTCGAGCTCGTCGGCGTCGACCGTGCCGCCGCGGTCCTCGTCGTAGCGGTTGAAGATGATGCGGTACTCCGCGCGCTTCTTCTTCTTCGCCTGGGCGGGAAAAGAGTGCGACATTCCCAACTTTGGAGGCTCCTATCTCGGTCGCTTTCCACTCGTTGCGGCTCATTTTTGGACGAGCGATCATCTCTCGGAGCGTTCTCGAAGCTTGGATGCTTTTTCTGGAACGCGCGCGCGCGAAAACACTCACGTTGAAGCGAACTTGAATCACTCTTTTCCTGCCCTGTGCTTCGCCTCGGCGATCGCGCGGTCGTCGACGGCGAGCGCGTCGTCGGCCTCCTTCTTCTTCGGCGGCTTGAGGAAGCGGGCGCCGTTGAGCTTGCGCCCGAGGAAGCGGTAGGCCGCCTCGAGGGCGTTCAATAATTGGGCGAGCTCGTAGAGGCTGTCGAGGCGGTCCTTCTCCGCGGCGGCCCGCGCGGCGTTCGCGGGCCGCGTCGCCGCGTCGCGCGCGAGGGCCGCGTCGCCGCGCGCCCGCTCCTTGTCGAGGCGCCGCGTGACGGCGCGGGGCGTGCCCAGGTTCGGCTCGCGCTTGAGGGCCAGGGGCGGCTTCGCGCGCTTGAGCGGCCGCGCGGACTTCATCTGGAGCATGTCGAAGCCGCCGCCCTCGCCCTGGGCCGCGGCCTCGGCCTGCTCGCGCTCGACGTCGACGTCCACATAGACGACGCGGCCCGCGTCCGTCGTGCGCTTCTCGAACTTGGCCAGGAGCCAGCGCCGGACGCGCGCGCGCGCGGCCAAACCCCGGACGAAGGCCTGGAGCCGCACGGCCATGGCGCGGCCGACGCGGAGCCGCCGGCTCACGAACTTCTCCGCGCGCGGGATCTCCGCGAGGACGTCGTCGACGAAGCCGTCGCGGTCGCCCGCGTGGCTGCACGCGCGCGCCGTCCGCCGGAGCGCCGCCGCGCACGCCGGCGTCATCCACACGTACGCCGACGGCACCGCGAAGACGTGCGTCGACTTCTCCACCTCGTCGATCCAGAGGTCCGACGCGAGGAGGAGGCAGGCGTGGTTGAGCTCGCACATGCGCTCCGTGAACGCCGTGGCCTCGCGCTGGCGCCGCTCGGCCTCGACGCGCGACCGGTCGCCGCTGATCTCGTCCCAGGCCTCCGTCGCGTTCCGCAGGCACACGGACGTCGGCAGGTACCGGCTCAATTTCATGTAGGCGTCGCTCATCGCCATGGCGTCCAGCCAAGAGGGCTGCCCTTTAGCGCTCCTCCATCGTTTGAAACAGCACTTCGGCTGCTCCTTGAAGAAGCTGAATTCATGAATCAAAATTCTCGATATTCTCGCAGTCGATGGCGGGCTTTGGGCAGCCTCTTCGACGCAGCACGCAGTAAAACGCCGTAGCAAATGGAGTGTGGCAGCATCTTCGACGCGGCCCCGCAGGACGTGGGCTTCGCGGCCGTGCCCCACGTCGGCGACGACGGCGACGCCGCGCAGGAGCTCGCCGCGATGCGCAAGGAGCTCGCGGCCTTCCGCGACGAGCTCGCGGCGCTGAAGGGCGACGCGCCCGCGCCCGCGCGCGAGGACATGCGGGCCGCCGGCAAGCGCGAGGGCGCCGAGGAGGTCGTCGCCGCCCACGCCGAGGTCCACGCGTCATGCTGGTCCATCCCCCTCGTCGTCAGCTTCGGGTCGTCGCGGGCCGAGGCCGCGCTGCTGCTGCTGCTCTACGCGCTCAACGTCGCGCTCCAGGTCTTCTTCTGCTACATCGTCATGCGGGACCTCGGGTCGTCGTCGGCCTACGACGACGGCACCGTCGAGGAATTGGTGAACTGGCGGCGCACGATCGCGCACGACGTCTCGTTCTACGACGGGCAGCACTCGCTCGCGCACCGCGTCTGCTCCGGCGACGCGGGCCTCGAGGTGGCGGCGACGCAGCAGGCCCAGTACGCGCAGCTCGCGGCCTACCTGGGCGACATCGACGACAACGATTGGCCCGCGGGGCCCTGGATGGCGGCCGCGTGCCTCGTCGCGTTCACGCTGACCATGGTCAAGGAGCTCCGGGCGGCCGTGGAGCTGCTCGACGCCGTGGGCGCGCTACCCCGCGGCGCGACGACGGAGCTCGGGCGCCACCGCGAGGACGAGGACGACCCGGACGACGACACCTTCGACGTGCTCGCGATCTCACGCGCGCGCCTTGCGTTCGCGGCGACGACGCTCGCGATCCGCTTCGCCGTCGCCGCGGTGATCCTCGTCTACGGCTGCCGCTGGCTCTGCTACACGGTGTCGCTCAGCGACCTGCTCCTCAACGCCGTCGCGCTCGAGTTCGTCGTCTCCGTCGACGAATTGATCTTCGAGGCGCTCGCGCCCCGGGCGGCGAAGGCGCGCGTCGAGGGCCTGCGGCCGCTCAAGCGCGCCGAGTGGTCGTCGCGGGGCCTCGGCGGCGTCGACGGCGAGACGCTCGCGACGAACGTCTTCGTGGCGGCGCTCATCGCGTACTTTGTCGTTCTCGAGCTCGGGCCGCAGACGCGAATCTTAAAGAACGCGCGCGACGCGATCTGCGGCGGCGACCAGGACTTTGTGTTCACGACGGACGGCGCGGGCGTCCCGGCCTGGGGGTTCCCCGAGACCGTCGACGACGTCCACTTTTCGCGCGACGTCAACTTCGGGGATTTGTACGGCGACCAGGACAAGCGGACGTACCTCCAGCGGTCCGTCGACGCCGTCATCGAGCAGCACGGCCGCGTCGAGGTCGAGGACTGCCCCTACGACTCGTGCTTCGAGTGGGACTCGGCGTCCTGTGGCGGTGACGATTTTCGAGAGATTTTCACCGGGAAAATGAAGAGAAATCGTTACCGACATGCTTGGTAGGTGGGACTACGACGCCGAGGTTCCGATCCAGAAGATCGTCGACGACGGGCCAGCGTGCTGCCTCGCGCAGCGGCTCCAGGTCCCGTCCGTGGACGCGGGCGTCTTCTCCGTGGTCAAGAAGTCGACGGAGCGCGCCGAGGACGCGACGCGGCTCTGGAACCCGTCGTGCTACGACACCATGTCCTTCGACGGCGGCTACTCGGATCTGATAAGGGGCGCGCTCTCCGACGTCGCAAACGCGGAGCTCTGGGAGCGGAACCCGAATGCGTGCGGCGGCGCGCCGCCGGACCACGCGGGCTGCGCGAGCGACTGGAGCCCCATGTGCGACGAGGCGACGGACGCGTGCGTGCACCCCTACTGCAGCACGTTCGCGCCGTTCTGCGGCCTCGTGTCGACGCTCGGCATCCGCGCGCGGCAGATGTGCCCTCTGACCTGCGGCTGCGACGACCCGAAGAGCGCGCTCGCGCTTTTTTTACCGGAGAGCGGCTGCGGCGACCAGTGCATGCGCGCGGGGACCTACCTCGAGCGGCGCCGGGCGTTGGCCTGCGAGGACGCGGCCGTCGACGACGCGACGTTCCAGGCCGTCGTCGCGGACATCCTCACCGTCGCGACGGAGTGGCCCCTGGACTGGGAGACGAGCGCGCTCTTCTACTACAGCGCCGTCGCGAAGAACGGCTGCGCGTACCTCGGCGCCGACTGGCTCTCGCTCCGCTATCCGGAGGACTACGCGTACCCGCCCTACGTCTTCGCCATCAACCCGTGCACGGGCGGCGGCACCTACCACCCCGTCAAGCCCCTGAGCTACTTCTGCCCCGTGGCCTGCGGCTGCCGGTCCGGCGACGCGCACTGCCCCGACGCGTGCCCCGCGCGGAACGGGACGGAGACGTGCGAGGAGCACCAGAAGCTGTCCAACGGCGGCGCCTGCCCCATGGCCGCCGGGCGTTTGTCGCCTAGGGTTACTTGGACGCGAGGAAGGCGGCGACCTCCTTGGCGTGGTCGTAGCCGAAGGTGACGCAGTCGGGGAACGCGACGCCCGACTTGTAGTTGCCGCAGACGTAGAGGCCCGGCGTCGTCTTCTCCGCGTCCTCGAGCCTCCGGATGATGTCGAGGTGGCCGAGCTCGTACTGGGGGATGGCCGTGGGCCAGAGCTTGACGCCGAGGACCTTGGGCGGCGGCGCGCCGTCGGCTAAAAGCACCGCGCGGCAGCCCTTGTCGACCTCGTCGACGATGGCGGCCTCGTCGAGGTCCGCGAGGCCGACGTCCCGCGAGCCGCCGATGTAGTTGAGGAGCACGTTGTAGTCCGGCGGGCAGCGGCCGGGGAAGAGGGAAGACGACCATAAAGTACCGAGCGTCCGGACGCCCTCGGTCCGCGGGTTCAGCGACCCGAAGCCCGGCAGGTCCCGCAGGTTCCCGAAGCCGTTGGGCAGCTCCACGTCCTTGAAGGCCGACTTCGGGTAGGCGACGGTGACCGCGCAGACCGGCGGGTGGTAGACGCCCGCGTCTCTTCCGATGTTTTTCCGGATCTCCTCGAAGAGGGGCTTCGCGCCGGGCAGTACGTCGTCGAAGACGCCCTTCAACGCGTGGGCCGGCGCCGTCGACACGAGGGACCGGCAGGTCACGGCCACGGCGCCGTCGGGCGTGTCGAAGGCCGCCGCGTACCCCGTTGCCGTCTTCTCGACGCCCGTGAGCCGCCACCCGAGCTTCGCGCGCGCGTCGCCGTTGACTTCCGCGGCGTCGTGGGGCTGGCCGAGCTCCGCGGCGATGGCCCGGGGCAGCGTCGCCAGACCCTTCTTGAAGGAGCCCGGGTTGCCGTACTCGAAGTCGACCCACGCGGGATCCGGCCTGGGCAGGACAAGGGTGCAAAATTCCCAACTTCAAAGGCTCCGATCTCGGCCGTTTTCCACTCGTTTCGGCTGATTTTTGGACGAGCGATCATCTATCGGAACGGTCTCGAAGCGTGGATGCTTTTTCCAGAACGCGCGCGCGCGGAACACTCACGTTGAAGCGACGTTGAATCACTCTTGTCCTGCCCGGGATCCGGCGGCGCCGCCTTCCGCTCCTTCGTCAATTCGACCTGGCGCGCCAGGCCGCCGTAGAAGAGCGCGCCGAACTTGTTCCACTCAATATCATAAGAGTAGCGCTCGATGCGCGCGATCTTCGGCAGCGCCGCCTTCATGGACAGCGTCTCCGGGTCGCCCGCGTAGACCCCGGACACGAACGGGTCGATGCACCGCAGGAAGACTTCTTCCCCTAGAATCCGCGTCACCCACTCCCGGATCGTCTCCTCGCCGGTCGCCGGCGCCGGCGCGTGGCCGAGGAAGGCGCCGACGCCCGCGCGGATCTTCCCCGGCCAGGACAAGAGCTCGCCCGCGAGCGCGAACTTGAGCACGCCGTTCGGCCCGAAGACGAGCTCCAGCTGCCCCTGGGGGCCCTTGCCGCCCCGGCCCTTGGGCAGCGGGTGGAGCTTGCCGCCGTGGTTCACCCAGGGCGGCAGCGACTCGTCGGCGAAGACGAGGTCGCCGTCGATGCCGAGCTCGTGCGCGATGCGGACGATCGACGGCTGCGTCGCGAAGGAGTTGGGGCCCTCCTCCCAGACGAAGCCGTCCGCCTCGCGGGAGATCACGTTGCCGCCGAGGTAGTCCCGCGCCTCGGCGAGCACGACGTCGACGCCGCCCCGGTGCAGGTTGTGCGCCAGCGAGCAGCCGCTGATGCCGCCGCCGACGACGAGGCAGTCGACGTCGAGGGACCCGTCGACGACGCGCGACCCGGCGACGCGCGTTGTTGTGGCACGGAGGCGCGGCGCTGGTGCGCGGAGGCCGCTGCACGAGGTTGCGCAGAGCGTTGCGAGTGCGACCTTGAGGAGCAGCTCCATCGTCTCGGCTCAGCGAAGATCCACGACTTCATCATCAATGCCCGCAGCGCGGCCGCGGCCGCGGCCGCGAGTCCTCCCGCAGGCGTAGGCCTAGGCGTCCTTCGAGGTGCAAGATCTTGAAAGGAGCCGAGGATGCTCCGACGTGCGTGCGCGCGAGGTCACGAGTGAGTGCTCCTTATTCAGATGGCGAGGTCGAGGTAGCGCGCGAGGTCCGCGGCGTCGGCCTTGGCCCTGGCGTCGCGCTCGCCGTTTCGAAACGGCGCCGCGCACGCCGCCGCGCCGTAGAGGCGCCGCTGGCTCGCGGCGACGCGCCGCGCGTCCCAGTGCGTCGCGGGCGCGAGGCAGTCCTCGTAGAGCGGCACGTGGCTGTCGTCGACGATGGCGTCGACGACGGGCGTCGCGAAGTCGTAGGTCCGGCAGAACGCGTCCGCGAGCTCGGGGGATGCGACGAACGCGCGGCGGCACGCGGCCAGGTCCGCGTCCGACGCGCAGATGGGCGACGCCGCCGCGGCCTTGAGGAACGCGTCCAGGGGCACGTCGACGCGGGCGAGCCACGCGGCGGCGGAGTAGACCCAGGACCCGCGGCCGCGCGTCGCCTTGCCGCCGGAGCGCGCCGCGGCGACGTCCGCGTCGCGGTCCGCGCGCTCGACGGCCTCCTTGAGCTCGCCGGGCGTGAAGGCCTCGCCGCCCTCGTTCGCCGCCGCCGCGTGCGTCAGCGCCGCGTGGACCCAGTCGACCTGCCTGTCGTCGAGGCGGTGGCCGCCGGTCGCGAGCTCGTTGCCGAAGAACGCGCCGAGCGTCCCGCGGTCCAGGGGCCGGCGCCGCGCGCCGCCGAGGGCGCCGTAGACGCGGTGCACCTCGTCGCGGTCCAGCGCGAGCCCGCGGCGCGCGAGGCAGCGGCCGACGTCGTCCGCGCGCACGC